GATAGATAGATAGATAGATAGATAGATAGAACAAAACCTGTCCACAGACCAATAACTTACCCATCCTTCAAAAGAGTCTGAGGGTCCACATTTTCTTATAAGTTCGTGGAAGCTGATGCTGCAGTTGGCCACAAAGTCATCGTACCCTATAGGGGTGTCATGGAACACAGCCACCTCCATCTTGCTGCCCTCACATATAGTGACACAGAACTCCTCATTATAGGTGGGCTTGTTAGTCCTGTGCTTGATGGTTGTCTTCCCAATGGTGCACTCGTCCACATTGATGGTGATGTAGGGATCCAGCAGCGATGAGCCCTTCTTGAACACAGAATGCCTCAGGGACCATCTGGTGGCCTGCAAACCCACAGCCTCCCCTATCTTCAGCTTCAAATTGCCATTGAACCTCATAGTCCCAGCCATATACCTGGTGAAGATCTGTGCGGTGGCCAGGTGAAGATCCAACCCTGTCCCTTGACCCAATTAGACTCTGCAGCAAACTTAGTGAGGCTGTGCACCTGCTGGCAGCCTGTCCATTCTTCCAGGACCCCTTTCAAAGTATACCTACCCGCATGCGGGTGCTCACCAAGACTGCGTGCAGTGTCTGCACCAGTCAGTCAAGGGGTCACTCCAGCTGTTAACCACAGGATGGGCATGCAGCAAGAAAGTTTCTGTCACCCCTCCCTGAGCTGGTACTAGGATTAGGAGAGGGTGCAGTCTTTTTCCGTCCCTTAGTAATCAGTGCAGCCACCCAGCTCGGGCTCAGTGTTCCGTTGCAGAGATCAGCTCAGTGCAGTCTGATCAGAGTCCTGCTGCTGCTCTGAACACAACCAGGAAGCCTTTCCTCGGCAAGGAGGAGGACAACAACACCGCCCCCAGCGGCCACTCTGCGCAGCGCAGGCAGGGCCAGTGTCAAAGTTTCCTACTGATGTGTTTATTACAAAGTGTCAAAATAAAATCTACACGTTGTGTACAAACACGAGATTGGTGATCGGCCACTAAACACACAAGGACATAAACAGATCCATCCTTTATTTTTTCTAATGTTTGAAAACAATTTTAAGGCATTTACAACTAGTGATCCTCTGTAGCAAAACACATAGTTCAGAAGTCAAAGAACATTGTATAAATACATATGATAAAAATAAATATAGTTTTTTTACTGGAATGAAAAATGTTAAAAACAGAACGTCAGTTAAAAAAATAACCAGATAAAAATAAATAGTCTGATAAAAGAGAGAACAGCTTTTGCTGCAATGTGCAACTTGAGGGCTCATTCACAGGGAGAAGCTGTGATCTGAGCGATCAGCTGTTTGTGATCGCTCAGTTCTGGATCTACAGTGCCGACGTGTAACATCTCCAGTGTCACACACCGGCTCAAAGTATTGGGAAGAGTACATTTTTCATGGATCGCATTGCATGGATCAGAGGCAGTCTGAATGGACTACAGGTGCAGTGACATTAGCACTTTTATATTCTATTGAGAACTACACGTGGTGGTGGATGGGACTTGGAGAAATGGAGAAACTACATTTGTGAAGATGAAGGCATTTTCACAAAATCAACAGCAGCCCTTCCCTTAAAAGAGAACTTTTTTGTCCACAGTTCTCTTTAGGGTCATGATGTCGTCCTGTGACCCAAAACTCAGCATACAGCAGGCTACTGTCTGCTATATGCTGATAGCGCAGAGCGGCGCTGCAGCCGGTAAGGAGCACGACAATATTTCCGGAATCCACCCCACCACCTGATTGACAGCTGGATCTGTCTCTCTAGCCAGCTGTGCCTGTCCTCTCCCCCGTGCATCTCATCAATAAGCGCTGGAGAAGCAGAAAGGAGAGGATGGAACTGAGCAATAAGCGGTATGTGATCGCTTAGTTCTCGATCTATAGAGCTGCATTGTCACACGTCGGCTCTAATTATGGGGAGGAGTGTATTTTACTCTCCTCATAATTCTTCTTTCAACATCTCTGGTTTATTACCATGTTGTGTTTCATGAGTTGTAAATGGTGGGATGGTTTTGGCTGTTTTCTGTTCCCTTTGTGATACCCATGGATCAATAATATACCTTTTGGATCAATAAAATATACAGTTTTGGACTCTTGAGACATTCGTTCGGTGCTCTTTTCTAATTTGACTTCCTGTATCTATTGTATATAGACAGACAGATCCTGTGGTCATCTGAACACCTGAACAGTGACTCCACCTGTAGAGGAGTTTCGGCATCTTTACACACATTTTACATTCAGTACCGACATCAATGATGTAGTAAGGCAGAGTTTTTTTAATGCCCTTCCAAAATACAGAGGTGTGATGTCAGCCTTAGGCTGCTTCCAGATAAAGCTGCCTTCCATAGGGATGAATGGTGATTGTGTAAAAATGCCGCATACAATACAGGTAGCTGAACAGTAACCCTCACCTTAACCTTCTTTCTTTCCCTGATACTAACCCCTCCTTACATAAACAATGTCTACCCATAAACGTCTTAGCTTTGGATAGATTGAAAAAAAAAGCACAACACACAGACCAGAGGCATAACTAGAAACAGAGGCATAACTCAGGGTCCCGATGCAAGAAACCATGAAGGCCCCTCCCTCCAAGAAGCCATGAAGGGTGCTTATAAGCCCCCTTATGTGATAACACATTGGAGGTGACAGGTTCTCTTTAAGCTACAGTCAGTATACCCATCGCACTCAGAACCTCTGTTCCATCAATCGTGGGTGCACCCTTGTCGACAATTGGCTGCTGCCTTGATAAACGGATAGAAGGCACTCCAGTAGCAAATCCAGTACGTCTATTTAATGTACATGTTGCATAGCAAAATACACTCAGTGCTATGTTTCGGGGGGTCACATGAAGGGAATCCTGTGCGACCGCGAAATGTTGCACTGAGTGTATTTTGCTATGCAACATGTACGTTAAATAGACGTACTTGATTTGCTATTGGAGTGTCGGTGTCCATTCTTCTATCTAGGTTCTCTTTAAGGGGACATTAGGAGTCAAGTAGACCCCCAGTGTCACCTTTCCATTCCAAAGAAGCTATTAGAGTGCAGATAACACTTCAATAGCTTCTTCCCTGGATGACAGCTGAGGGACCAGAAGTGATGCAATTAGCATCTCTTCCGACCCCATTTAACAGGGAGAAGAACGGCGAACTAATGTTAGCCAGGCCCCTTCCCCACTTCCCAGTGACGCCTACGATTGCGACGCTATTGAGGGCCCCCCTCCCCCCAGGCCCACCCCCCCCAAGTGGCCAAACGTCAGGGCCTGGTCACACATGCGACCACTGCGACCCTGGTAGGTCCGCCAGTGGCACAGACCCTTTTTACAAATCAGAGCACCACAATGCAATGTATACGTGTTGTGTGTTGGTTGCTACTGTACACTGTGTTGGGGTTCTATTCACAATCAATGGCACTGCAGCTCCCCACATATTGATACACACATTACTGTAGGTGTGAATTAACCAAAACTTTTACATCTTTGGTATGGAGTACAATGCTGATAATATACCGATAGAACTAAAGCTAATCTCCATCTCAACGCTGGCACGTTTCTGACTAACACTGTTGTTGGCAGCTTCCAGTGTCACCTGCCTGCTCACCAGACAATTATTTTCCATTATCAGACTGCTGATTCATTATACAATTATCAGGAAACTGTACAGCTAAATCAGGAAACAGAGGAGCCGTCTTCCTGACTTTGCAGTGTAGCTGATGGGTGTGAATCACAGGACTGGCAGAACAGAACTGCAAACCTTCTGGCAGGCCAAACATATTTGCATTTCAACTATATATACAAATTCAACTATAATACAAATTCAATACAGGAGAGTTAGGAGGGCCCTGCCCGTAAGAGCCAGTAAGAGTACAAGTCTCTGGGGCACCTTACTGATAATGGTGGTAATGAGAGTGTCACAATCATTGCAACACAATAGATCGGAGATAGGACCACAGGTGAATAGTCCATTTACAATTATATTTTAATGCAAGGCAAGATAGAATTTCAAATAAGGAATCCAACACGTTTGATGGGCTCAACACCTCCTCCTTTCTCAGGTCCTAAAAAAGGTTAAAGTGATATGAGATTCAAAAGGTTTCAAATGTTGAATAAATCACTTACAGATGCTGCTCCTTGATGTTTAGAAGTTTTAGTTTCCTGCACAATCAGCTGGTCCACTGAGCACTGGCCATGATATCCTGTTTTACAGTGGCTCCATTCCCTTTCAGGGTCCTATGGAGCCAACCTTTGTGTGTGAAGTAAGCGGTGTGTCTCTCCAGAAGCACACAGGCACAGCAAGGCAATCCATTCCTTTGCTCCAAGTTCCTGCTCCCTCCTCCAAACAAGTAGATGGACAGCTACTGGACACTGCGCTGTCCCTTGCGATTTTGTACTGGATGGGAATTTCAGGAAAGCCGAGCTGAGAGAGTTGGAGCTAACTGTTTAGAAACATGATGAGTAAGTGCTTGGGCAAAAAAGTCGAGAAAAACTTTACCAAGCAATGTATATTTGTTTGATCTTCATTTATTATTGAAAACGTGTTTGAGAGTTTAATACTACATTAAGAATGAACTGTTGGCGATGTTTAAAATCAGTGTGTTGTCAGACACAAGGTTCATCAGCAGGTGGTTGAAATATACATTTAGTTCCATATTATAAGAATGCTTGCTTAAAGAGTAAAAACATAAAAGAAAAGGCACAATGATTAAGAGCGAAGATTGTTATAGTTGATCGATTCCCATAAGTTAAAGCTGAAACACAATTTTTACTTGTAGAACACTTTTGTGGCCTCACCAGCTGACAGAAGATATGTCATCTGCACGCTGGAGGAGGAAGGAGAACACCTGGGTGGCCATGCATGGATGGAGCCAATTCTACCCATCAACTGACTGTGCAGCCGAGTTAAAAACACTGCAAGCCCAGAAAAATACCGGCTGATCTGCAGAAAATCCAGTGTGCTCCCAACTCCTGCTTGTGCTGACAACACAGTGCCTCTGTTTCAGTGTTTCCTTCTTTTTTTTTGCATTTTCCTTGCTGGCATTACTACGGACCAATTGGTCTTTTTACCTCTGAGTGCCGTCAGCTCAGAAGCCATCATTTGAGTCCATGCAAAACTTTATTTCCATTCAGCCCCGATGAAGGGAGACATTATAGCCCCCAAAATATGTTGGCCATCTACTGTTTTTACAGTCATCAGTTGAGTAATTAAAATATTTTGGACTCTAAACTTCTTGATGTCTAGCGCTCTCATTCTACCTGTTGGAATTGAATTTCTCAATGCGGGTCCTAGCCCCTTCCATAGGGGTCTCCTGATTCCTGCAGAAGAGCTGCCTAACCTAAGGGGTCTCCAGATTCCTGCAGAAGAGCTACCTAACCTAAGCCGTTAGGCTCAAGCAGTAATTCCAGCCCCCTTTCAGAAAGATACCAGTCCAGCGCCTTGTTTGCCATTTGCTTCTGCACCTCTGCTGTCAGCCCTGCCCAGTTTGCTTTTACTGGGTGACAAAACCCCTTCCCTTCTCCTCATATATATAACATGGAGGGCATAGTTCTGTAGGCCAGCAGGGAGGAACTGTACAGATCAGAAAACACTGGTGGGAAATTCAGTGCAGCAGAGGCAGAGTATACAGTAAGCTAGGAGCTCATTGGATTTCTGGCAGGCTCAACCAGTATTTATCTGTACTTGCAATATGTTTAAAGGGGTAATACATGGGGAAATGAGAATGTACTCTAGAGATGTACTGAATATGCAAAAACATATTTTTACAATTTTGCACAAGTGTACACTAAGGGGCTCATTTGTAAAAGTTTAGTATATGA